TTCAGGGTTCTCTAAAGGTTCGTTGTGCTATTGTGAGAGTTACTGCATCCAAACGGAAAACCAAACCCATTGTTGTTGAGTCAATTCTGACTTGTAGCGACCCGATAGGACAGAGTAGAGATGCCCAGAAAAAGACAAAGCTGGGGTCCAGGTCATGAGAAAACTCAAAAGTCATCCAGTGCATTCTGGACTCTATCCTGAAAGCCAAGGGAGACTTGATTGGGTCTTTCTTTTTCACTTTTATAATCTCAGTGCTCAGTACAATGTTTGACCCATGGTAGACAGTCAGTAAAACATTGTTTTGAGTGAATGAATTTGTGACCTAATCAATAAGGTGGGAGGTGCAGGAAAAGGAGATTATTTCTGGTCTGAGTAAATCGATATATGATGCCATTACCAAACTGGGAGAGAGCATCAGTCAGGAAGATGAATGATGAGTTTGGATTTGTATTTAAGATTTGAGGTACTTTTGAGACATCTGCGTGGAGGTGTATGGGTCTAGAACTCCAGAAGACAATATATATTTGAGAGCCACCAGCCTACTGTGGGAATGGATGGCATTGTCCAGGGAGAATGTAAGTGAGAAGAAAGAGGAGGCTGGAACCCTGGGGAACACAAGCACGTAGGGGTTGATGAAAGAAAAGAGGGATGAGGACGTGTATTGAAGGAGTTAGAGGGAAAACTCAGAACAGCATCCCCTGAGCTAAGGGAATTTAGTTTCAGGGTCAGAGGTGTCTAATGCTGCCAGGAAGTCCCAAAAGGACCTCTTGAGTGGCCATGAGAATACCAGCTCTATGGGATTGTTGTCTGTTTTCATCACTGCTGTATTTCCAGCACTTGAAATAGCCTGGCACATAGTAAGCACTCAATAAATAACTGTTGAATGAGTGAATGAATTAAAAAGGGTGCCTTGAATTTAGCCACAGAACAAGCGAACCTTGGTGAAGGCATTTTCAGAGGAGTGGTAAGGGGAGCCAGATACAGTGGACTAAGGAGTAGCTAGGACATAAGAAGTGGCCACAAAGAGAGGACTCAGGAGGGTACCAACTCTGTGAGCATTTAGCATGTGCCAGACACTGAGCGAGGCACTCTACATGCATTAAATCATTTAATCTTCCCAACAGCCCAATAAGGTAGGTACTGTCATGATCCCATCTTACAGATTAGGAAACTGTGGCTCAGAGAGAGTAAATAACTTGCCCAGGATCCCATAGCTGGAAAGTGGTGGAGCCAAGATTTGAATCCAGATATGTCTGACTATGGAATTCAGCTCCTAATTGCTTGGCTGCATTTCCTCTAGTTTCTTTGTGACAGGAACGTGAGAGAAAGGGTGACTGAGATGACTTGCAGATGAGGTCAGGAAGGCTTGCAAATGTTTAAATGCTGATGGGAGAGAACCAGTAGAAAAAAATAATTTCAAGACTGGAGAAAATTTATACTAGAGGAGCCTGAGGAAGGATCCAGAGCACAGGTGAGATAGGGGTAGAAGGTAAAGTCAGGTTGCAGGTATTTTTGTCAGAGAAGAGGGAAAGGCAGGGATGGGTGGGAGTCCTCTTCTGATAGTCTGCTGAGAGTAAGGGAGGTGATGATCGAGTTACAGACTTGAGGAAGGTGGTACAAGTTTGAAATAGCTGTTGTAGAGAATAGAAAAAGTGATGGCGGAGATAGATTTTCAGGGCAGTATGAAAGGTCCAGCAAAGATGGGGAGACTGATTTTGCAGCAGCCCAATCCACTATTACATGATTCCCACCCTTCCCACCAGTAGGGCAGAGTAGCCCAGGGGTGAGGGCTTTACCCACTGGCTGCAGCCGAAGAAAAAGACAGGTTGTCGAGAGTATTGGCTAGAATGTCTTTGAGGTGATGGATCGCCCCATCTAGGCCAACAAGGAAGGAAGTAAAGCTGGGAGGGGACTGAGAAACAGAAAGGAAATGGAAGGGTCATAGTACTAGAGTCTGGAGGAAGTTCAGCAGCTGGAGTTTGGTAGTAAAAGCGTCCTTGTTCTCATGCTTCCATGTCCAGTGTTTACCTGTCTGTGATGAAGAAGGCAAAATTGTGCTCAAAAGGGCTACAAAAGTAAGAAACTGAACATTGCTCATCTCTTCAGAGAAGGGACAGAGGAGGAGTGCCAGCGGTACTTTTGTTATTTATTTTAAACACTTCTGAACTGTGTGAAATTTTTCAGCTAGTAAGTACTGCTTTTGTAGTAATAATAATTATGTATATGTATATAAATTTCACTGAAGCCAAAGAAGAGAGCAGGTTTCCATGAAAGCAGGAAGAGTAGAGCAGTGCAGAGATAGTCTCCTGGTCATGGAATAGGACTACCCTGGAATACAAGATCTGTTTGTGGACTCATGAGGTATTAGCTCTGAGGAGGAGCAGCAGGAATCTGGTCCCATCCTGCCATTGTTTGCAGGGGAGGAAGTGGGAGCCCCGAGACTCACTCCGCTTGGCAGCTGCCGAACCAACCAACCTTTCCTGATTTCCCAGCTCCATGCTGTTTTCCCTGCTGCCTCCTGAGCACCTGAGCCTTCAGAACTTCTGGCTGTCCTACCTGGGCTCATTGTGAGTGTGTCAGCCTGCTGGCTGTTGGGGCTGTTTGCCATACCACAGTTCCCATGGCTCAATTTGCAGTGCAGGGTGTGGGTGTGTCTGGAGGCAGCTGTACTGTCCCCTGCCCATTTCCTCCTGTTCAGAGCTCGACAAAGCAGCAACTTGGAGGCGGAAAACCACAATGATGAGACTGTTTATATCCTCTTAAATGACCCAGTGTCCCTTCTGTTTTGCCAGCTCCCACATTGCCACTTCCCGCAGATCTTCTCTCTCATAGCATGTTTAAGCAGCAGCCTGACTCAGTATCTGCTACTTCTCTATCAGCCCAAGTCCTGATGGGAGCGCTCAGACAGAGCTTCTTCACTATGGTGATAGATGGCGGGGGTAGAGGAGACAGTCCTTAGATTAAGGCCATTGTTTTGGAGAAAAGGTCCTTTCATTTCATCAGTTCTCCAAAGGAGTCTATGACCCTTCTCCAAAAAGCCCACTGACTTAGGGAATGGAGCCCAGGTGTATTTTGGAAAAATATAACAACAATTTAAAAAAAAAAAAAAGAATTAAGTGTGTTCCCATCTTCCAAGTAACCATTCAGATAAACCTCTTGTTTATGCAGTCCGTCTCATTTTGTCTTCAGCACAGTGACCGTGGAGCTGCATATGGATTTTTTGAAATTTCCCCTCAGTTTGGTAGACTGAGATCCAGAGGGTTGACACTAAAGCTCATAACTTTTGCTCTCTTTTGCTGGCCGCCTGGGTAGATAAGCAGGTGAACTCCCTACACAAGGCAGTCGGGGCTCTGTGATGTGTGTGGTTGGGAGTGGGGACAAGGAGGCAGAGGGTTGGGGTATAGTTTAAAGAGGGTGTTTATTTTTCTATAGTTTTCTTCACCCTGCCCCTAGGATAAGTCTTGCTTGGTGTTTGCAATTAAAGTTGGGTTTGTAGAGATGACCTGTCTGCTTGGGAAGCTTGGAATGACCCTGCACATTCTGCTTTGAGGCAGTAGTCTCTGCCCTGAAAGCCTGATTGTCCTTTTATGTCGTGGGGATGAGTTTCTAGGGTTCAGAATGCGGTTGTGAGTTGGCCTAGCCCGGAGGAGCCACAAGTTCCCTTCTCCCTGCAGACTTTGGGCACATGTTGGTGTGAGGATGCAGGGTGTTTTCTGGGAGAGGGAGGAATATTCATGACGGCAGACTAGGCCCCCTTATTGGTTTGCTTCTTGGCAGACCTGAGAGCTGAGATGCAGCTGTGTGATGCAGTACTCAGGGGTTTGGACAGGCTTCCTTGAGATGGCTGGGGCCCTTGGGTTCCTTCTGCCTAGAGATGTAACATTTGGGATTCCTGTTCAGTTCTGAATAATCTCTCCCTGCCTTCTGTCAGGCCATTCCATCTCTGACTTTGTAGTTCCATAGGAGGTCATGGATGTTGTGGTACCAGTGGGGATATATGTGGCTCAAGGAAAGAATAATGAGAGCGTTCACTGTGGTTCAGGCTTGGGACAGTAGAATCAGGACCCTACACTCTACCCGGAGGGTCAGAGAGAAGAACCAAGAAGAGACATTGCATTAGTGTTTTGGCTTTGGCATTTTTTCTCAGTAGACTTGGGTCTGAAAACTATGTTAGATTGTGTGTTGGCCCATGTTGCTTTCCTCTGTTGGGTAGAAGGCTACCTTGGATAGAGAACCTGTTTGGGAAAAGGAGGGAGGGAAGCAGGAAGTGACCATGTGCCGCCTTTGGGGCACCAACTGGATCGTCTCAGGGCTCCTCTTGATAGGAGCTCCTGATAGGAGCTTCATCTGCTCACATTAGCTCTTGGGCTTTTACAAAATTGGGACCCCTGTGTCTGGGGCCCTCAAGAGCAGTGCTACTTAAAGTGCTAGTACACAATAAGATAAAAAGCATATGTAGGCACCAGAATGTAAATCTGTTCCCTTCATCAAGAAAATTTTGTTATGGGAAAAATGTCAGAACAGTGCGCTTACTTTAACATAGTGGATTTATATTGTAGTGTACTGTAACCTTCCTGTCTAGTCACCAATACCACGATTTGCAGATTGGCAGCTAATCTGCAGACCACACTTTGAGTAGCACTGTTCTAGAGCTGCCTGGAGTTCAGAAACAGTTAATGAGGTCTTGGAGTCCTGTGCTCGGTACAGCCCAGGGGGAGCCAGAAGTATAGGGTCCTGGTTAAGAAGAGCTGCCACCCAGATCATTCATAGGTTGGGCAGGTTATTGGGAGAAAAGGGAAGCACAACCACAGTGAAAAAGTTGAACAGACAACTAGGCCTATGCCAGTGCAAGGGTAAATGTCATGTCCTCCCTCCCCTTTTATCACAGGCATGGCATGTAAACTGAAGGGACTAGAAATGGGGCCCTCCTAAAGGGCCTTGGTTTTGCCTCCTGTTTCTGGTGACAGATCAGTAACACTGAGTTTACCTTGTCTTTGCAGAAAAACAATATAAGGCAGAGAAGAATACATTGACTGTCTTTGTGGCCACCCCCGGATGTCACCAGCTTCCTAGTTTGGAGTCAGTGGAGAATTGTAAGTACCACCTTGTTCCCTGTCCTAAAAGACTAAACACTTATCTGGAACTATAACGCTGCATGGCCTGGCCTCAGCTGCTGATACTAGGCCTGAAGGCTTCCATGGCTGTGGGGACTGAGGGTCGCCAAGAGCCGACGGTCATAGAAGATGAGTGTTCCCTGTGCAGAAAGTCTAACCAGTATCTGAAGGTTAACTGAGGAACATCACACTGGATGTTTGTGGAGTCTCACAGGATGCCTGCCTTCTGAGCTGAGTACGATTCCATTTCCATTTTAGGAATTTGAACACTTTGCTGGTTTTCTCTAAGAGACCCTACACTGGGGAGAGAAGATGTTTTTAGTTGTGGGTGGTACAAACGGTTAAGCACTCGACCACCAGCCAGAAGGTTGGCGGTTTGAGCCCACGCATGGATGCCTCAGAAGACATGCCTGGGGATCTGCTTCCAAAAGGTCACAGCCTTGAGAACCCTATGGAGCAGTTGTACTCTGCACATATTTGGTTGCCGTGAGTTGGAATCAACTCCATGGCAACTAACAACAACAACACTGAGGTGAAGCTGACTCATTAGTCCTGTGACAGCCTCCTATCTTCCCTGAGCAGTAGCATTTGGGAACTTCTTAGTCTCCAAAGTGGACCTTCAGGTATTGGCTTCTTCCTCACATTCTTGGATGAACTAACTGGAACCAGGAGAAAACGGGAAGGTAGGGTGATTACAAAGGCCTTGGGAGCATTTTATCCTGGACTCATCTCTCCAAGCATCCCTTTCCCTTCTGCCAATAGGAGACTTCATGCTCTCAGCTAAAGGCTGGTAGGAATTCATGTTTCTGGTCGGGGAAACTGACTGCAAGGCAGGTGGTGCTTTGCTGAGACCCACTCCAGCCTGATCTGTAATCACTCATCATCTCCCAGGGCCTGCAGAGCCAGTGTGCTGACCTTACTTCCTCTCTGGCCACAGGCCGGGCCCTCCTGCAGCTGTCCCTTTCTGGGGATGTCTTCTCTTTGAAAGATTTTTTAAAATGTGATTTTGCTGTTGTGTTTTAAGCCAAGGGTTTGAATAAAATATCTGCTCTGTAATCTGAGTCGAAAACCTTAACCAAATAGGGTCGTTTCTGTCATTTCAGACACCCTGACCATAAACGATGAGCAGTGTTTCCTCCTCTCTGAGACTGTCTGGGGAGCTCTCCGAGGTAACAAGGTGGGGCTGATGCTGGGAGAGAGAGAAGGGTGGTGTACAAGGTGGGCAATGGTAGAGTGGGAGGAGGCCAGGACTGGGGGCCAGCAAATACTCACACTTCAGACTTGCTTTCTTCATAGAGACCTTGAAGGGCAGGCTCTGCTTATGGCTGTCCCTAGACATTGCCAGACTTTAGCCTGTGCAGTGGCAGCAGCTCCTCTGGCTGGGCCCTTGGGGAAGCAGTAGGAGACTCTGTAGGCTGATGCTCAGGGTACGGGCAGCTGGGGGGAGGAAGGATCTGAGTCCACCACAAACACAGCCTGTCCAGCTCCCACTAAAGACACAGAATCAGAAAGGTTCTTTAAAAAGGAAAACTATATCGAAAGAAATCGATAAATGTCCAAAAAAAGAGAAAAGGTAAGGAGTAGTATGATAAAGTCAAACTGTATTATTCCTGGAGAAAAAGAAATTGCCTAGCTAACAGGCCCCTGCCCTTTCTCTTGGTTTACTGAAAAGGTATTTTGTCTTTAAGTACAGACTTAGCCAAATATGTCTGCTATTTTTGGTAATCCCTTTGTTGGTGGGTGATGAGGAAAATTCTCACAGAATTACAAACCTTGTTTTAGTTTGTTTTTATTTCCTGACCCCTGCTTCCCATTCCTGTGTTTTGGGGAGGCAGCATGCTGACTCCCCTTTCTACCCTCTCGTACCTTTTGTGCAAGTTCTAATGATTGGTCAGATTGTAGTTGGGGGGAAATGTAGAGCTCAGAATGCTTGGACCTCAGAGTAATGAGAAGCAAAAACCATGTACTATCAATCTTCCTCAAACTGAGTGCTTAGTGACAACTAAAGTCTTAGGATTCTTTCATTCTGGAAATTTAAGATGCTAGGAATCCTTTCATGGGCTTCTGCTAGGTTTGCTGAAGTGGGCCCTCAGCTGTTGAGAACATGTAACATTCTAGACTGAGTACACCTGCCCATGGGCCTTGCTGAACTCTAGAAGACTGTATGTCCAGTGGACTGGCCACTTCTGGGGCAGTTGCTGCTTGCCACACCTCAGCTCCCTACAGCTGGGACTCTTCCAAGTTCTAAAGAGGAAGAGTGGATATTTCCTTGTCTTCTATGCCCAGCTATGGACCTGTGTTCCTTGGAAACTCAAGCTTTTGATCTCTTCCCCACAATTCTGTCTCAGAGAAGTGAAGGGGCAGCAGATTGGGGACCCCTTTTCTAACTCGTTTAGCTCCCCATGGGTATTATTTATGGAAAGATGTAACACTTGAGGCTAGCCTGTCCCTGCATCAGTCCTCACAAGCACACATCTTGGTCTCTCTCCTTACTGTCCTTGTGAGTTCAAGGCTCAGAAAATTTGAAGAAAAGATGTGGGTTTTAAAGGTGTTTGTACTTCAGGGAGGGGCACTAAATCCCTTTACATCACCACCTCCCAAAATAAAATACAAAGTAGAAATGGATACTGGCTTCCCTGTATTCCCTTTTCATTCATTGTTGAGAATCATCAAGCCTGGACTGTGTCAACTTTCACTGTGTGCCCAAATGTTGTGCTCTGCTACATTGGGAATCTTCCAGATGGGTGATTCTTTGCAAGATTAAAAAAATGTGATTTTGTTGTGTGTGCGTGTTTTTGTTTTTTTTATTTTTATTTTATTGTTGTGCTTTAAGTGAAAGTTTACAGTTCAAGTTAGTCTCTCATACAAAAATTTATACATACATTGTTATGTGACCCTAATTGCTCTCCCTATAC